ATATATATATATATATATATATATATATATATATATATATATATATATATATATATATATATATATATATATATATATATATATATATATATATATATATATATATATATATATATATATATATATATATATATATATATACATACAACAGTTCTGTCTGGTTCTTGAATCTGATTGTTTGATAGCCGTGTGATATTTTGCCATGAACATTACACATAGGGCTCTTCACCCTTCACCTCGGTGTATTACTCCGCCCAAACACAGCAAGCAACAAGCAGGCAACAGTTTGACAAATATTACTGTTGTTAGACAGCAAAATGTACTTTTGAGGCTTTTTTAGTCGAGAACGTAGTTGTTTAGATTGTAACTTTGCAATTTATTTGTATGGATAGTGCCTTTAAAATATTTACAATTTCTGAGAGTCCGTCGGCGGTGGTTGACGTTGTCTATCCACAAGAAGGCGCCAGAACTGCATAATAAGCCCTCGCTCAGTGTGTTCTCTTGAGCACGAATTTAAAGGCTGAAAAACGGAAGCCTCGTGGTTTTTAAGGTGGACCGAATAGAGTCAATAAGAAGCTGCGAATAAGAAGCTGGATTCAGCCTTGTCCCTCCTTATCGCAAACACAACAGCAGTCTGGTGAGAAATCTCTGTAGACAGATGGCCTTTCATGTCACATTCAGCCTTATAATCTTTAAATGTGAGTAAAATTTGCTGTTTTGTCAACACCTTAAGGGGGTCACACACCAAAAGCGCCGCTTCACATTACGCTATAGAGAATCATTCAAACACTAGCTCTAAAGTGACGTTGGGGAATTAGTAACAGTTTCTGCTGTTCTGACGTCAGCTGCAGAAGTGAATGAATGGCGGTGGAAAGTAGTTTTTAGTAGGTTTTAGTAGGTTTTAGACTCTGTGTTTGATTTTCTTTTTTATGTAAAAGAATGTGCTGTTGTATAAACACAATATCACACGAGTAGCAGCATGCTATGGCTGTATGTCAGAACTGGTGGGGCGCTAAGGTAGCTCCCACCAATGCTGATATACAGCCATAGCATGCTGCTACTCGTGTGATATTGCTCATATGTATATATATAAAGTAAAATTACATTTACATAAATTTAAATGTTTTCAGTGCTTTTGCTTTTTTTGTTTTGTGATTGTTCTAAAAGATTTACATATACTTTGAAGTCATTCACAAAATGAGTAAGGTTTGGTTTACATTGAGCCCACTTTTTCTTATGTATATGGTATTTTCCCGACAGCATAAACAAATTAAAAATATATGGTCCTTTACAGTTCATGTTCTCATTATCGGAATAAAACCCCACATCAAATAAACCAATTTCTATCTTATACTTCATTTTTATTTTTTTTTGTCAATAAACAATTTCCAAATCTTTCCAAAATATTCTTGAGTAAATACAATGGGAAAAAAAAGATGGAAAATTGTTTCTGCAAATCACGTTTATGGCTTAAAAGTATATTATCATTATCCTCCCTTTTTAGGGCATTATTATGGCTTTTTATAGTTATTAACTTTTATAACATAATTTGGAATTTTCCTTCAATCTGTTGCGTTGATGTTATGTTGTAAATTTGATTATTTATCACCATTCAGACTTTTTATGTTAAAATTTTGTATTTTCAAGTTGTAATCATTCAGCTTTTTAATCATTACTTGACTTTTTAAACTCATGATTTTATCATTTAAACTTTATTGAAAAGGCTTTAAATACAATTAACATTTTGATTACATCTTAAAGTTTGTTTTACGTCATTATTTTAATATTTATAATTAAATTTTGACTGTTTATCTCACAATTGTGTATTTTTATGGTGTAAATTCAACATTATTGAAATTATTTAAATTGTCATAACTTAAGAGTTTTATTATCCACATTATTATGCATTTCTGCTTTTATTGATACTATTGCCTTTTGTAAACAGCAAGAAGGTCGCTAGTTCAAGCCCCAGCCGAGCCAGTTGGAATTTCTGTGTGGAGTTTGTATGTTCTCCCCGTGTTCACGTGGGTTTTCTCAGGATGTTCCGGTTTCCCCCACAAGCCCAAAACGTGTGTGTATGTGTGTGAATGAGTGTGTATGGATGTTTCCCAGTGATGGGTTGTAGCTGGAAGGGCATCCGCAGCGTAAAACATAAAACAGAGGTCACATTTCAGTCACGGACACATGCTTTTAGAGCCTTCATGAATGAATAAATGAATAAAATATGCTGTTTTACACCAAGGCAACCTGAGGTGCAGAAATATAATTGGCTACACTGGCATTGGGCGGGTTAAAAGAACCAAAACAAAGACAGCGTTCCGGCACGGAATACACATTTTCAAAGCAGAATATCTGACTCCAGCATTGTTTTACAGATAAACAAGAATGTTCACTTTGCATGTTTCCAAAATATCTGCAAACATATTATGGTATTTTTATGCTTTAGAAGAGTCAAAAACTTATTATATATATTTATGTAACATGATATTTACTAAATATTACAATGATTTTTAACATAAAAGAAAAAGAAGTCATTTTGACCCACAATGTATTTTTGGCTATTACCATAATATGAAATGGATTCAGGGTCACATTATTATGACACCATTTTTAATAAACCATGATTGTTTTTGTTCTCCTACACACCAGAGACGGGGTTTTCCTAATACACAGAGTAATGAAAGACTAAAAACTCTTTAAATGGTTTTACTAGCCACAGACAAAGAACAAATGAATCCCCATTATGTTTGCTTTATCTGTAAATCATTCATGACCTAAAAACAGCCCTCTGTCCTTATCAGCAGAAGTAATAGAGTAACCTTCTGGTATCCGTTCCTGTGTTTAAAGCAGAAGGTATCTTGAGGTGGGACTGACGACCAGAGTTCAGGACTTGAATCTTTTTATCAGCTCATACAACAACAGCAAACCAGCCACCAATGAGGAACCGGAGAAGAGCAATAAAAGCGATAAGCTGGAAATGGTTCAATTGATCGAGGCAACATGATCAAGCATGTTTGCTGCCACATCAGAAGGAACTAAATTTTCACCAGAAGGAGGAACTTTTTAGATATCAATTTTTTCAAAAAGCCAAAGAACAACGTGGTAGGAATTTTGGAAAAGAAACGCATGGAATTGTTGACAATGGAACCCCACAAAGAACTTCAGAAGTGTGTGACATCATATAAAGAACTTAAAAGCATTGGGCGAACCGATCTCTGAGAGAAAGAAAGACTTTAGGATTCATAAACAGTTTATCATGCTGCAGGTAGGCTTATCACATATTCTTGTGGTGTTTAACTGCTCACGATATGTACGGTATTATCAAAATATCGACAAAAAAAGGTAACAGGTGTAATAACATTACATAGTGTGTTGCATTATTTTATTCATGTTCACTGTAAGCAAATCTTTCTACCAAATAAAGTCTAATAGGTTACAATTAACAGGTATCGGCATGTGTCTAGCATGTTCGTAATCACGATATATTGAATATTTTTATCTCTATAACTTGAACTATTGAATATTGGCATATGTCTAACATGTTTGTTATCACAGTATATTGAATTATGTTATTTGTTCATTGCGCCAATATATTGAATTATTGAATATCGGCATAGGTGTAGCATGTTTGTTATTCCGATATTTAAAATTATTGAATAACAGCATATGTCTAGCATGTTTATTATGCCAATATATTGAATTTTTAAATATCGGCATATGTCTAACATGTTCATTATCCCGATATATTGAATTATAAAATATCGGCATATGTCTAGCATGTTCGTTATCCCTATATATTGAATTATTGACTATCGGCATATGTCCAGCATGTTTGTTATCCCTATATATTGAATTATTAAATATGTCTAGCATGTCCATTGCGCCAATATATTGAATTATTGAATATCGGCATAGGTGTAGCATGTTTGTTATTTCGATATATTAAATTATTGAATATCAGCATATGTCTAGCATGTTTGTTATCACAATATATTGAATTTTTGAATATCGGCATATATCTAAGATGTTCATTATGTTGATATATTGAATTATTAAATATTGGCATATATCTAGCATGTTTTTTATCCCAATATATTGAATTATTCAATACCGGCATATGTCCAAGATGTTCATTATGCCGATATATTGAATTAATGAATATCGGCATATGTCTAACATGTTCATTATCCTAATATATTGAATTATTAAATATCGGCATATGTCTAAGATGTTCATTATGCCAATATATTGAATTATTGAATATCGGTACAAACACTGCATGTTCGTTACCCCGATATATTAAATTACTGAATATCGGCATATGTCTAATATGTTCATTATGCCGATATATTGAATTATTAATTATTGGCATATGTCTAGCACGTTCGTTATCGCGATACATTGAATTATTGAATATCGTCATATGTCTAATATGTTTATTATCACAATATATTAAATGACTAAAAATTGGCATATGTCTAGCATCTGTGTTATCACAGTATATTAAATTATTGAATAACAGCATATGTATAGCATGTTTATTATGCCAATATATTGAATTTTTAAATATCGGCATATGTCTAACATGTTCATTATCCCTATATATTGAATAATTGACTACCGGCATATGTCCAGCATGTTTGTTATCCCTATATATTGAATAATTGAATATGTCTAGCATGTCCATTGTGCCAATATATTGAATTATTGAATATCGGCATAGGTGTAGCATGTTTGTTATTTCGATATATTAAATTATTGAATATCAGCATATGTCTAGCATGTTTGTTATCACAATATATTGAATTTTTGAATAACGGCATATATCTAAGATGTTCATTATGCCGATATATTGAATTATTAAATATTGGAATATATCTAGCATGTTTTTTATCCCAATATATTGAATTATTCAATACCGGCATATGTCCAAGATGTTCATTATGCCGATATATTAAATTAATGAATATCGGCATATGTCTAACATGTTCATTATCCTAATATATTGAATTATTAAATATCGGCATATGTCTAAGATGTTCATTATGCCGATATATTGAATTATTGAATATCGGTACAAACACTGCATGTTCGTTACCCCGATATATTAAATTACTGAATATCGGCATATGTCTAATATGGTCATTATGCCGATATATTAAATTATTTATTATCACCATATGTCTAGCACGTTCGTTATCGCGATACATTGAATTATTAAATATCGTCATATGTCTAATATGTTTATTATCACAATATATTAAATGACTGAAAATTGGCATATGTCTAGCATCTGTGTTATCACAGTATATTGAATTATTGAATATCGGTATATGTCTAACATAATCATTATCCTAATATATTTACATTTTGAATATCAGCATATGTCTAGCATCGTCGTTATCACAGTATATTGAATATCGGCATGTTTAGCATCTTCGTTATCATATTGAAATATTGAATATTGTTTTTTTGTCTAACATGTTACCCCAATATATTAAATTAAGGAATATTGGCATATGTCTAGCATGTTCGTTATCCCGATATATTGTATTATTGAATATCAGCATACATCCAGCATCTTTGTCATCACAATATATTAAATATCGGCATATGTCATGTTGCAGGTGGACTTCAGGACACTAATCGTGCCTGTTGGCATTGCGCGAATGCTGGAGGTGCTCCTAACATGCATCTGCTTTGCACTGGCGGCGTCAGCGGGCATCCCAGACCACGGCTCGTCCCACTGGGCCTGGAGTATGTTCTGCTGGTGCTTCTGCTGCTTTACCACGCTCCTCATCCTCATCCTGGAGTTCACCAACCTCCACACCAAAGTGCCCATTTCCTGGGAAGACTACACCATGGCTTTCGCGATGCTGTCCACGCTCATGATGGTCACCATTTCCATCGTCTACCCCACGTTTTTTGCGTGCGCCTCGTGCGCCAAGGAAATCGGTGCATCAGCGGTCTCCTGGCTGTGTTTCGGACTCTACGCTGCTGAAGTTTGGTTCCTCTACAAGAAACCTGGTGAAATAAGTGGCTTTCTGACCACCATTCCTGGTCTCCTAAAGATCCTGGAGACTTTTATTGCGTGTCTCATATTCACATCATTGAGTCCTGATGGATATAGGGGTTTTCCTGGGACGCAGTGGTGCGTTGCAGTCTACTCTATATGCTTCATTTTCTCATTGATCATCATTCTCCTCACCATCGCCAGGCTGTTGTCCGTCTTTCCATTTTCTTTCGACTTTGTGGTGATCAGTTTCAACATGTTGGCTGTGGTCATGTACGCAACCGCTGTTGTTGTCTGGCCGCTGTATGCGTTTAAAGATAAGCCTCGTCCTGATGACTGTAACCACTGTGAGTGGGACGATCTGGTGGTGGTGACCTTCATGACTGTCTTCAATCTCTTGGTTTACATTGCCGATATGGCGTACTCGATTAAATTAGTGTTTTTTACGCATCATCATAGTGAGGGGTGATGCTTTGTGCAGTTTCACTATGTGAAAGAAGACTGTTGGATGTACTGTATTTACTGTACACACAGTTAAAGTCAAAATGATTCGCCCTCCTGTGATTTTTTTCAAATATTTCCCAAACTATGTTTAACAGAGCAAGGAAATTTCCAAAGGATGTCTGATAATATTTTTTCTTCTGAAGAAAGTCTTATTTGTTTTATTTCGGCAAGAATAAAAGCAGTTTTTAATTTTATGGGTCAAAATTATTAGCCCCTTAAAGCTATATATATTTTTTTGATTTTCTACAGAACAAACCACTGTTATACAGTAACGTCTTAGCTGTATAAGATGAATCTGAAATAATATCTAGTAAAAAGGATGTACTGTCATCATGACAAAGATAAAATAAATCAGTTATTAGAAATTAGTTAGTAAAACTATTATGTTAAGAAATGTGTTAAAAAAATCTTCTCTGTTAAACAGAAATTGGGGAAAAATATACAAGAGGGCTAATAATCCTGACTTCAACTGTTGTAGGGAGTGGTCATAATAGTAAAACTTCTACTGATTAAATGCCTCAGCTTTCAGGTGTGTCTGTAACAAGTGTGTTTAAGCAGTTGATTTTAATCGCAGTCATAAACACACATGGTTACAGATGTAAAAAGGCAAGCTTTGTTTCTGAGTGTGAGTACACTCACCGGCCACTTTATTAAGTACACATTGCCAACAACTCATTGACTAAACCAGGGGTCACCAACCTTTATGAAACTGAGAGCTACTTCTTGGGTACCGATTAATGTTGAGGGCTACCAGTGTGATAAACACTTCTCAAATAACAAATTTGCTCAATTTACTTTTAATTATACTTTATGTTTTTGGTAATAATTAATGATTTTCATCCATGTGAAGACACTGATCTTGTTAATAATTCTCAGAAAAGTTATCAAGAATGATTTAGCAGGGCAGGAAATACCCTGTATTTAATGTATCAATGCGCAACACTTTATTTTTATATATCTCTGCAAATATTTACACTTTTAAATGATTACTTCTATATTAGATGAAGCTTACTGGTAAGTGGCGCTATGGTGAGCTATTTTTAGAACAGGCATGCGGGCAACATGTTGGTGAACCCTGGACTAAACTTTCTAATCAGCCAATCACATGACAGCAACTCAATGCATTTAGGCATGTAGACATGGTCAAGATGATCTGCTGCAGGTGAAACCGAGCATTAGAATGGGGAAGAAAGTTGATTTAAGAACGTGGCATTGTTATTGGTGCCAGACTCAAACAACTCAAATAACCACTCGTTACCACCGAGGTATGCAGAAGAGCATCTCTGAATGCATAACACGTTGAGGCAGATGGGCTACAGCAGCAGAAGACCACACCTGGTGTCACTCCTGTTAGCTAAGAACCGAAAGCTGAAGCTACATTTCACACAGACTCACCAAAACTGGACAATAGAAGAATGGAAAAATGTTGCCTGGTCTGATGCGTCTCAATTTCTGCTGTGACATTCGGATGGTAGGGCTCAGAATTTGGCATCAATAACATGAAATTTTAGATCCATCCTGCCTTATATCAGTCACAAGATCTCAATCCAATAGAGCATCTTTGGGATGTGGTGGAACAGCAATTGTGTGATGCTATCATGTCAGTATGGACCAAAACCTCTGAGGAATATTTCCAGTACCTTGTTGAATCTATGCCACAAAGGATTAAGGCAGTTTTAAAGGCAAAAAGGGCGTCCAACCCAGTACTAATAACATGTACCTAATAAAGTGGCCGGTGAGTGTATATGGATAAATACACTGCAAAAAGTGGAAAAAATAAATAACAATAATAATAAAATAAGTAATACCACTAAAAATTCCTTATTACTACAAATATTAAGGATATTACTATGCATTTTTAAAGTTTTACATTTGTAAAAAAACCTGAATATAAAAACTTAGGCCAAAATCTGCAAACACAATTAAACAACAACAGGACAAGACAACAACAGGGAATCAAAATAACACATTTTTTTTTATAAAAATAGTTTATTTTTTTATCTTGTCACCTATTTCTTTGTTTCATATGTGTGTTAATAACAAATATGTGATAATATGCACAAATACACAGGCGAAAACAACCTCTGTAATCCTCATTTTCTTATCTCTTCTTTTTTTTTTAAGGACACAAATAAGGGCATAAATAAAACCAAAGTAACAGGAACCATGAGGGATCCAAATGATAAATCCATTATATATATGATAGATGATGGATCCAATAAAAAAAACGTAATATAATTCATCAAATAACCTGCACACTGATTATCTAAATTAATTAAATATGATGAAATGCAGGGTTTGTAAATAAACTGGTTATTGTGCTATTTAATGGGTCGCCATCATTTAAAAGTGTTTTAAAATGTAAAATAGTAAAAACTATAAGTTATAATATATTCTGACTTCCAGTGTGTCGTATAAAAACAATAAAGTAGACGCCTATGCTGAGTTCAAACCAAACCACAAACATTACGACGAAACAAAAATAAATCCTAGTGTATGTAACAATGCTTTAAATGACGAGAGTTAAAACTCCCGATCGATGTAAACGATGAACATTTCAGCATATTGTTCATTTGAAGACATCACTAGAGTGTGTTTCCGAAAGCTGAATGCATTCAGCTGCCATTTAACACACTCTCAGACTCAGAGATCTAAAAGTCATCTCTCAAAGAGGACCGTCAGGTTTGTCTGATCGCTCATTACCTGCTCTTGAGGGTGACGATGGCAGATATGAAGAACTCGTACCAGAAGAAAGTGAAGCCGGTGGATAAAGCAGCCTTGAGGAGACTAGGAGAAAGGCCCTTGAAGAACCCCCGGGGTCCTTCCTCTCGGCCGATCCGCAACACACAATCCACAAATCCATGATATGTGCGCACCTGCTCAGAAAACACAAGAAACCACTATTTGTTCACATTGACTCGGGGTCTGTACGATTTTTTTTTATATGTTTTTGAAGTCTGAAGTGAATATAGTAAAATTGTAAAACATTATTACCACTGAAATAAACAGATTTTTATTTAAATATATTGTGAAATATCATTTATTTCTGTGATGTTAACACACATTTTGTTAACTAATGCATCATTAAAAAGCATGAACAGAACAAAACTAGAATAGAACAGAGAAAAAATAGAACCGAATAAAATAGAACAAAGAATAGAGCTGAATAGAACAGAACAAGAATAGCAAACTGAACTGGATTAAACAACAAAGAATAGAAAAGAACCAGAAAGAATAGAATTGAATAGAACATAGAAAAAGAACAGAACAAAGAACTAAAATTAAATAGTACAGAACAAAGAAAAGAATTAACAGAACATAATAGAAATAGAACAAAACTAAACTGAATAGAATAGAAAATAAGAATAGAATAGAATAGAATAGAATAGAATAGAATAGAATAGAATAGAATAGAATAGAATAGAATAGCAAAATACATAACTGAATATACAGGAATAAGAATATGGGGTAACACTTTTACCTACACACTATGAATCATCTGTTAAGCATTAGCTAATAGTGAATTCATTATTTGTTAAGCAACTCTACATTAATAGACTTCAGTGAGCAGTTTATAACTGCAGATACAAATGCTGTATTTTTGACTTAATAATTGTTCTTAAATACTTTATTACTGATTAATTTTTCATGAGTAATCAAGTATTCCATTATGTACAAACAGAGCAAAATATAATATAAACCGAACAAAGAACAGAATAGAATAAAATTGTATTGTCCGTTTTGGTATGACAGAAACAGACATAATTATAGATATTGATAGAGATGCACACAAGACTACAGGTAATCCAGAAAGATAATTTGTTATAAAGGTTTAATCGTAACTATTATTAATAATTTATTAGTGCAATAATGGATTGCTTGTAAATATTCGATTTAATTGACTATTCATGTATTACTGCCATCAATGTTGAAACAGCTGGAAATGTCATTAATCGCACTTTTTTTATCAGTGTAATGCATTCTTATAGGAAATATAAAATTCTAACTCAGACACCACACTCTTCTGATGGTGAATTTAGCTAGGAGAGATCACAAAATCCTCACATTTAAAACAAGCACAGTTTAACCCTTTCTGTTTATACTGGTGTAATGGCTATAATGTTGGGTAACACTTTATTTTGATGGTCCATTTGAGTATTAGTAAACTGTCTGCTTAATATCTGTTGATACTGCTGCTAAACAGACATTTTACTGACTATAAGAAACTTGTCAAGTACATGTCAACTTACACAAACCCTAACCCTAACCTAAATGTCTACATATAATCTAATGAGAATTAGTTGACATGTGGATGCAATGCAACTTAAATTCAACAAACGGACCATCAAAATAAAGTGTGACCTAATGTTGCTGGCCTGGCAAGCAGAAATAGCTCATTAAAAAACAATGTTGTTGTGTTTGAACCTCCAGTGTTTTTGATTAAAGCTCATTAGTGCTAGGCTTGTCACAATAATCAATATATCGACTTAACATGCAATTCTTGGTTCCCAAATAACGTTAAAGCCATTTTACAAACACATCAACCTCTCCGGTGTCAAAATTTATAATTAGACATTCACCTAATGGGACATTTAATAGTAAATAAATATATATATACATACAGTTGAAATAGGAATTATTAGCCCCCTCAAACTATTAGCACCCCTGTTTATTTTATTCCCCAATTTCTGTTTAACGGAGAGAAGATTTCTTCAACACATTTCTAATCATAATAGTTTTAATAACTCATTTCTAATAACTGTTTAATTTTATCTTTGCCATGATGACAGTAAACAATATTTGACTAGATCTTTTTCAAGACACTTCTATACAGCTTAAAGTGGCATTTAAAGGCTTAACTACGTTAATTAGGGTAAATAGGTAGGCTAGGGTAATTAGGCAAGTTATTGTATAAAGATGGTTTGTTCTGTAGACTATCAGAAAAAAATAGCTTAAAGCAGCTAATAATTTTGTCCTTAAAATGGTGTTTAAAAAATTAAAAACTGCTTTTATTCTAGCCGAAATAAAACAAATAAGACTTTCTCCAGAA